GCACTGGATTATAAGGCGCACTGTTATTTTTTAAGAAAATCAAAGGCTTTTTAGTGCGCCTTATAGTGCGGAAAATACGGTATATACTATATTGTCACTATAGCACAGAGCTCAGACAATGAAATAATATAGTTTATTTTAATTAATTTTATGTGACATTCAATGGGCCCATTATGGCTCATTGGGTAGCACTATGGCCTCGTACCTCCAGGGCCAGGAGTTCAGCGCCCTCTACACTGGGTGTTACTGCGTACTTTACCATTCTTGTGTAAATACGCATTTGACATCATCTTCCATTGCTGTAGCACAGTTATAATGCACTAATAACAGAAGTTCTGCAAAAATGCCCCAGATGTCGTTCTTGCCCCACCCCAAAAATCAAGGAAGCATCGGTTGGATCCTAACTAACAAGAACAATCCCATGATTCATTGTGTCCCAAGGTGGTTCTTGGGAAGCAAGCTAGCAAGAACGCTCTTGACAAGAACACAACACGTTCTTTGTGTTCTTGGTATGGATAAACACCCTGCGCGTGTGGAATTTGCATGTTTTCCATGTACAGTGCAGGTTTCCTCTGGGTAGTAGAGATTCCTCGTGCAGTCCAAAGACATACAGTTATGATAAGTGGCATTTCTTAATGTCCAACAGAGTATGAGTGCCTTGTGTTGTACTACCATCCTGTTTAGGGTGTATCCTTCTCCTGTGCCCTCCAGGACCCCACTGCAGTGGCTAGAAGATGAGTGGACAGTACATTTCGGTTCTCCTGACCTTTGAGGCCCTAAAGCAGAAGGCAGTCATCTTGGTGTTGGCTTTCTCAGGGTCCACCAGCAGGAGTCCTTTTTCTTCATCCAGGCACAGGTACCTCCCCGTGGTGATGTGACGCACCCGAAAAGACATGCCCCATTTCATGTGACACCCACTCCACCTACGGAGAGAGAACAGGGATAAACCTCACCATTCAGAAATGTTGGGTGGAACAGCAAAGACATATATTCTAAAAAGTAACTACATGGACTCACCCAATTCGGAGAGGTTCTAGTCTCCAGAGAGACCGGGCGTGGCTGCAGACTGCACCACCCTCATAGTGTGCATTTCTGGTACAAGTATTTTAAAAAAAAAAACATCAACTTCGCTGTCTACAGACATAGATTATGTAAATAGCAGATAAAAGGAAACGGCTACCTGCGCTGGTCGTCTCCTTGGTCAGCAGCAGGGATTGCTAAGCACTCATCCATGTGACCATGGAACAACCTCAGAACATGGCCTCCAGTCAGAAAACCTAGTGAGCCAAAGCATTAAAGGGTCTAACAAGGATGGTGGAAATTAGCGGGAGAACATTTCAAACTGGATTTAAGGAAGCACTTCTTTACACAGCGTGTAGTGAGAGTATGGAATAGTCTTCCTGATAACATAGTGCAAGCTGAATCCTTGGGTTCCTTTAAATCAGAGCTAGATAAGATTTTAACAGTTAAGTTCTCCCCAAGCGAGCTCGATGGGCCGAATGGCCTCCTCTCGTTTGTATAGTTCTTATGTTCTTAAGGATGGAATGGAGTTCTGAGGGCATTGTTGTGAGGATACATGAAAAACACACACTATAGGGCTAATAAGGACCTGAAGATTTCTTACCCTCAGCCAGCTCACACCCAGAGCAAACAGGATTCATGTTCCAGAGCGTCTGCATGAAGGAGGCATCCACCATCAGGTCCCCACTAGCGTAAGAGAGATGCTGAACAGTGGAAGGTTAAGATAGTTCAGTCTTAGTGTTTTCTGATTGGGGCATTGAAAGATAAACCTAAGTGTCAGAAATGTCTCTAAAGTCTTACCAGGTATCTCTCAGAGGAGACGCTGACCAGGATGAGGTCGTCTCCCACTCTGACCTTCTCGCCTTCTGATCTCTGCTTGGAGGCTGGGTGAATGGTCCACCAGCATGCCTCGCCTAAGGTGACAGATGTCTCTCATTTTTAGTTTCCGTGCATGATGGAACAATAGAGTATTGGCCCATTCTTCAGAGTAATAGAGAGCCATTGATCCTAGTGTCAATACCTGTGGAATCTTCCTGCAATCCCACGTCAAACGCCAGTTTATCGGTGAGCGACCGTGATGTAGTCAGGCAGCTGAGGTACTACGGCAGGAGGGAAGAGACACACTATTTTCTTGGCTCTGTAACTGGGAATTACTTAGATGAAAAAGACTACAATTTATATTATAGTACCTATATATACACACTGATGAGGCAAAACATTATGACCACTCTGCTAAGAAGTGATTATCATGGACTCCCATAACCGTCATTAAAATGATCAGCTAATTCGGCCACAGTACCCCTTCTGTTGGTTCATACCGGACAGGATAACCTTCACATCCCACGTCTAGGCCGCCCAACACCCTGTCACGGTTTATGGCGTTTCCCTCCTCGGACCGCTCTCAGGAGGTCCTCACCGTGAGCTCCACACAAGCCTTGCCATTTCTGAAATGCTCTGCCCCGGTCGTCTGGCCGTAATGATCTGGCCTTTGTCAAAGTCACTCACATTTTTACTATTGGCCCATTTCTTCTGTATTCAACAAGTGAACTATGAGTACCAAATGTAAGCTTACCACGTGAAATATCCCAGTCCTTGACGCATGACTTTTTAATGAGCTAGTCAACGTGATTCACTTCATGTGGGCCTTGTCATAATGTTTTGGCTCATCGATGAATATGTAAAATATATTATTTGTAAAAATCATTTTACTAGCACATAGAATTTAAAGATTGTTTTTTGTCAGTGGGACACAGACTGTATTAGGAAGCAAAGAAGTTCAGATTGTAAACTAAGGGGCTCAGACAATGGAGGACATTATCAGACATATTTGGAAGATCTCACCATGCCAGAATGTGTGTGTCGAAGCAGGATAGCATGGCCATACAGCAGCGTACGATGCCCCCCTCCTTGGGATGACTGTCGAGGGCAAAGGATGGAACAAGATTACCATTCATGACATCCTGTCCAGCATGTTCCCTGTCCTTGATGATAAGCTCCAGTTTTACGAGGACCCTGGATTACATACACATTGCATCCAAGTCACTATCCCGGATTAAGGAAAAAGCCCATTCATTATCGAAGGCACATTTTTGATGCGGGTCAGGGGGAAAGACGTTCAAACCACTCATCTGCCATTTGCTTATGCTGATCAAGGTTGTAGGTTGAGGAAGAAGTTCTCCAATATGAATAATATTCAATATGGAAGTGCTAGGCAAACTGTGACAAAAGAGAGTGCTGTACACATGGCCGATAAGAGGGCATTCAGTCACCAGAGGGAGATAATTACATTTTGGTTGAGAGGGCATGGGTATTAACAAGGAAACATTGCGGGGGAAAAGACAGAAAGTGTGACATGGCCAGAGACATACCCATTTGTCCAAATCGACTGCCTTTGGTTGTCAGCGAAGTACAGGTTGCAGAGTCAAAAAGGGAGACAAAAAGGATTTTTTTGACTCCAGGTAACATTGAAACATTGAATTATAAATAGCATTGTAGAACACTACAAAACATGCCAGATTTTTAAAGTACACTTATATCGACATGTTTACTGTATGTAAAATACATATTTCAGGAAATGAATTCACTTCAAATAAAACCAAAGCTTGCCTGGGGCAAATCCAATAGAATCAGGCTCTGCATCTACTAAGCTTTACTTCAGGGTCCGTCTTTCTGCTCTCCTGTGTGTTTCCTGGCAGGGTTGGCAGTTTTGGTTTTATGTTTGTTTGGGTTTGGTCTGTCATTTGTGACAGAGGAACTTTTGTCTGGTCAGCTTTTGGATTTCTTCTCTATTTTTGTGGATTGGTCTGTATGCCATTTTTTTCTTGTTTTGGAACAACCCTGATGGTTATGGTGCCGTTTGATCTTAGCTGGGGATCAGACTTGTTATCTGTTCACAGCTTGAGTGGACCTGAGTTCCCTTTTTAACAAAAGGTCAAAGTGTAAGACCAGCCATGAGCAGTAGGTGGCGTCAATGAGACAGAAGTCATAGAGAAAGATAGTCATTCTCTCTCACAGCCCTCATGTTATCTCAGAAACTTGACACAGAGCATTAGTTTTTTGTAACCTTCTTGATTAAGTTGGTCTTCCTATCTAAATGTGGACCATCCATTCATTTCTATGGGAAAAACCCTAATCCCAATCATGACACCCTTAACCCCTACCCATCCCTAACCTTAACCATAAGTAACCAACCCAAATACAAGACTTTTGGCATTTTTACTTTTTTGATTGCATTCACAGATTTTTATAAAACTGAGGTTATCCAAATGGGGACCTCAAAAGATGTCCCCAAAAGTAGGAAAATCTCAGGTTTTACTATACCCCCCCCCTCCCCACACACACACACACAGGGTATATACTTTAATTAGTGGTGCTGGTTACATCTTCAGCAATAAAGTGCTGATGAATGGTGTGCAAATCAATTTCTTGCTACTTATGCAGTGTCCACAAAATTACTTTTGCAATATTTAAGTAGGACATTTGGACATAAGGGAAACTTTGGGAAATGTACCAAAACAATTCAGCCAAATGCACTCGGACTCAGAAACCTCCTAAGGATCGTGTCTCTTTACAGAATAAAAAAATGCAAAGAAACAACGTAATTTATTCCCCCCAGTGTGCTGAGCAATAAGTATCCCCCTAATAGCTCCTACCTCATTCATCTCTGTGGTGTTGGCCAGCATTTCCTGCAGGGCACGCACTGACAAAGATTGTTCCAAGATAAAGCAACAGATTGCCAAGTCTGGAGGCACATTCTGTGAGAGAAAACATAATTAAGTGCTCAGCCAGACAAGCAGCCCAAGTGTCCGTAATTAACAGGATAACTATTCTGTGCTGCCTCTGTGCTCTACCTGGGCATTGGAGGTGGCCTCCAGGAAGGCCAGGCGGTTCCCGAAACCCTCACAGGACAGACACAGCTTGATCTGCTCCTTCAGGATGGAAGCGGTACACTGCAGAACCACCTGATCATCCTGCAGAAAAGGACAAGACACATTATAGCTGACTGACAACAGCAGCCCAGATACAGGGCTGCATACTGAAGGCCGAGACCTCAGGTACATTTAGCTGCGTGGACAGAGAAGATTGACGTAAAAAAAAAAAAAAAAAAACAATATCCTGAAGTTGATGTGTTTCATTAACATTCCTGTCAACTTGATTATCACTTCAATGCTTACGAAGAAAAGCAATAAAGCTGCCAAAAATGATCTAAGTTTAAATTAATAGGTTATAATAGTCTTGATGTTGCTCTGAAAGTTTAAAAGATATGGTAATGAGATCCACACTTAAGTTACATGAAAGCTGCAATAAAACAGTTCTACAAATATGTCTATCAAGCAAAACCTCTAAGAAATTGATTAAAGGTAGTCTATTAAGAACACAGCATATCCGCTTTCTGCCCAAACTGTGGTACGTGGTGAGCAGGAGACAGGGTGACACCGGAGAGTAGCCGTCTGCCAACTCTGTCTTGATGGTAGTTCATATCCAATCAGTGTGAGTTCATGGATGGATGAAAATCAGGGAATGATGTGTGTCTCAGTTAAGTGGCCAGACTGGGAGAATAGTGATAGAAAAGACAAACGACTAAGGCAAAGGTTATCAAAGTCCTCAGTCTGGATACAGACTGTACTGCAAGGTAATCCAGACCCAAGCGGTAATGCACCATAAGAATCAACATGGTTAATGTAAAATGCTTAATGTGATTTGAAGTACAAAAAAAAAAACAATGTAGAACCACTAAACCTTGCACACACATAACTCGTCATAATCCCTCCTCCCATCATGACAAAGAGTGGAAATAATCAGTGAGTATTAAACTAGTCGTTACGTTAAGGTCCCATTATTGTTAAATATTCAGGTCTATATTGAAAGTCTTTGGTAATTCATTAAAGTTCATCAAATGCTGTTTTGTTATTGAATATAGTTCCGGACCCCTGACATAAAAAAAAAAATCTGATGTGGATCTTTTTTTTAACATGTTTGAGAACACTCCTGGACTAAGGTGACTGGGATAGGACCTCAGTCAAGGTGTAGGTGCTATAACACATTAAAACTAATATCAAAATAAAACTAAATTAAAACTAAAATAAGTGTATTATTCCAATTTCACTATAATTCTTCAAACGATTTTATTTTGTATCAGTCTTCCCCCAAAACAGGACATCATACTTTTTGCAGCTTTTTATACAATTCAGTGCACTTTCAAGAAAACTTTTTAGAACTTACAGTAAGTAATGAAATAAACATGCAATGTGTTACTAAAAATAGTAAAAGTACATTTTCTGGAAATATTTCAGGTTAATCTTACAGTACTGTATGTATAAATAATTTTAGTGAAGATTTAGTACTTGTCAGTCATTCATTCTCCATAATCACTTACCCATCACAGGAGAACCAAGAGCGTATCCTAGAAAGCATAGGCCTTAAGGTAGCATATATCAGTGTTTGCCAGCCCGGTCCTCAGGGATCCGCAGACAGTCCATGTTTTTGCTCCCTCCCAGACAATTCACATGGGAGCGAGCAAAAACATGGCCTGTCTGTGGGTGCCTGAGGACTGGATTGGCAAACAGTGGTTTACAAACGGCTAAGAAGCATGACTAAAAGCCCCCAACCACAAAGGGTTGGGGTCTCTGTGCTGCTCACTGGATCACCATGCAAACTAGACATGCTAAATATTACTGTATTTAAACATTCATCATGCCAAATTTCTTCACTGCAAATATTTTATCACAAAATTTAAGTTTGCTGCTAAAGTAAAATTGTAATTGGACTTTCAATTATGTCGGTAAGGCATTGATTTATGTTCCAGAAAAGTATAGTAAGCTTTGTCGACATCACAGAACTATTTTGCTTTTGGAACGATTTTATCTTTATCTCCGATCTTCTTTGTAAAAGTTGCAAAACTTATTACTGTTGTCTGACTTAGTCTAAAAGTAATGTTCATAACTTTGCTTGGCTTGAAGGTCCTTATGCGGCGATGAATATGTAGTACTGTTTGATTGTCTCCCAATGATGTGACAAGTTCACCCGGCACTGGTTCACTGAATGCGAAACCCCATCCACTGGGAGCAGACGGCGAGATGCAACACCCATCTGTCCCACCTATAAAGCAAAAAGTTCTCAAAGGCCACTGCCCACACGGATATATTAAACCAGTGGAATTACAAAGCTGGCAGGCCAGAGGATATTCTCGTTTCTGCTTAACTTGCTTCTCAATCAGAGTCAGAATTCACTTTATTGACCAGGCACAGCTGCTTGTACTAGGATTTTATTCTGGCAGTATCGGTGCTTCCATTCACAGACAACGTAGAATCCATGTTAAGAAAAATCACTGAAGTACAAATAAGATGATATAGTAAAGTGCAAACAATGCAAAGCCATACAATTACTATTAATAAATATAAATATAAACTTTAAGGGAAAGGAGATATACTGAAATATAAAAATATATAATAGCCGGCAGAACAGACAAAGGAAATGGATGTGCAAAAATGCATGCAGAGTAATTATTTAGCCAACTGAAAGACTGACTGAATGCACCAAACAATTCAAAGACACATTAAATCGAGTTCTCATTTACCACATCTGTGCAGCCTATACATGAAAGCACACAGAGAAGCTATGTTATACAACATATCATAAAAAAAGTGTGCAACTGCAAGTATCTGAACAAAAGAAAAAGCAAAAAGGGAACAAATGATTTTGTCAACCAATAAATTTGCAGCATGCTCACCCCAAGTCATGTGACTTTGGCCTGGGGTCTATAATTCTTCGTGTGCATGTGGTCTGTCATGGCCTCCATGGAATTCCATCCAGGGTATACCCCAGCTTTGTGTCATTCACTGGCTCGGGTAGGCTAAGCAGGATAAGCAGGACCAAGACGGATGGATAGGCTTAATTCCATGCGTCTTGGTAGTTCTTCATTTTCCATGGGGTCATCAGACATTATGGAGACAAGCTGGTACATCATAGGAAATTCCTTCAGAGCGAGTCCGAAAACTCATGGGATTAACACTCCCATATAAGTGAAGATAGATCGGAAAGGCACGTGTGATATGTTGTTTACGATACGCTTTAGGGATCCTGTCAAATCCCAGATTCTGCACTGACTGCATCACCTCCAAATATGTGGTTAGGACCTGGAATCTTTGCTAAAAACAAATTTGAAATAGGAGAACTTAAGAGTTAACTGTGCTTGCACATGAAGACACATGGATTTTTTGATGGCTAATCCTGGTCACCTAGCAGCCCACACCTGTTTATCATGGAAGGTAAGACCAGCTTCCAAAACCAACTCGCTTTCTGCCACTTTCACTGCAGCAAAAAATGGGTAAATAGCTACAATGACCCCCAGCGTTAACCAAAAGTACTGTATCAGCTAGACCTCTATGAAGGAAAATACCACTGTCTGAGAAATGAGATTGAGTCTCTTCTGGGGCTATGGCTGGGTGCAGGCCAGACAAAAGCCTGCTTCTTGCTTACTTTGCAGTCCAGGAAATTCCTGACATCGTGCAGAGTAGCATCACCTGGAAAATGCTACTTTAGCGCAGCCTAAGAATATTCAGATTTTTGCTGTGAAAATCACCATTGGTCATGGCACCCTATTGCAGGTGAGATTCTGCTGAGCGCCCAGCACCCCGCCCCCCAAAATTCTGTTAAACAATTTGTATTAAAAACATTACTGTAGCACAGGGTACCTGGATCCTAACTAGGTAACTAGCCTCTATTTCACAAGAAAAGCAGTGAAATATTAAAACTAGTCGAAATGACTAATGTGTTTCTTCTGATTTCGTTTGCTCCCCCTGATTAAATGGCGCCCTAGGCGATCGCCTATCTCGCCCATAGGACGGGCTGGCCCTTCCCTATTGTGTGGACCCATTACCACTGTAATTGGTATAATCCAGTGCTTCAAACTCATCACCTATCTGTAAATGACGCATGGAAAGATCCGAGCAGAAGATCCTGAGACTCCTGGAGCAGCTGAACAAACGTGCAGCGACTTCCACAGAGGGGACATTAAACACTCATAAATAAACCCAGAGGGGTGACTTCTAGACATGAGAGGTTGTTAAAGTAACTCCCCATAAACCATTCCTTCACAGTTGTCACTTATAACACATTACAAATTACGTACCCAAACTGAGTTACGGGGCGAAACCATTAGCATTGCAGGAGTGGATTAAAGGGCTCTCTGTCTCACGGCAGTAATAACATTTACCTGAATTCAAAATCCAGCACAGACATTGACATTCTGCTCATCTATTATCTCCATGAAAGCAAAGATGAATAACAAGACAAGCTTCTGGGAGTTATTGCTTTTTTACCTTATTAAAAAGTTATTGAACAAACAAACACTATCCTGATGCTTCTTCAGACGGTATCAAAAACATGGCAACTCAAGGACAGTGGGTGACTAAGTTTTAAAAGATCCAGTTTCATCCCTATTTAAGAGTCACATCACCAGAACTACTTCCTGGCTATGTAGACTATGCTAACAATGTCTAGGCAGATGCACCCTAAGCACAGGGAACTGTCTGTGTTCACAAGCAATATGCATTAAGCTAGAACATTCCCAGTTCCACATGCTGGACATTATTTCCATCCTAAAATAAGCATTTTTAAGAAGCCATTCTAAGACAGACAAAGATGTATAGTGCAGAGTATTTACTATAATAATTCTTTAATACTTCATAAATATGTCCTAACTAGTACTATAATATAAATCAGACACAATTACATAAGTAAGTGCAAGTTTGAATGTGACATTGATATGCTGGAGAAACTATAGTAGGATTAAAAGCAGGACTTTGCTTTAGTATGACAAGTCCCTGTCCAGGCTGCTAACTAATATTCACTATACAGTATGTCAAAAAACAAACTAAACTCTCCAGATAGAATGGAAAAAGTCGGAAGGTCAATACCTTTAAATTAAATTAATAATTAAATGATTTGGAGGATAAATGTACTGCTTTGT